GCAACTACTACCAGCAGATGTGTGGCCTGTGTGGAGACTACAATGGCGACCCCAAGGACGACTTGCAGAAGCCCGATGGCTCGCAGGCAGCCAACCCCAATGAGTTTGGCAACTCCTGGGAGGAACCAGTGCCCAGCTCCCCCTGTGTGCCCACGCCGGACTGCACACCCGGTGAGGAGGGCTGCGAAGAGTGCAGCTCCGAGCTGAAGGAGAAGTACCAGAAGGAGGAGTTCTGCGGCTTCCTCACAAACCCCAAGGGCCCGCTGGCTGCCTGCCACAAGCTGATCGATCCCCAGGGTCCCCTGAAAGACTGTGTCTTCGATCTCTGCGCGAGTGGCGGGAACCTGAGCATCCTCTGTAACAACATCCATGCCTATGTGAGCGCCTGCCAGGCAGCTGAAGGCCAAGTGGAGCCCTGGAGGAGTGAAACTTTCTGCCGTGAGTGACAAGGACCCTGAGGGGGGCGGGGAGGCCCCTCAGCAGCGCCCCTGGGCAGTGGTCTGACCACATTTCCTGTCACTGCAGCAATGGAGTGCCCTCCCAACAGCCACTATGAGCTCTGTGCCGACGTCTGCTCCCTGGGCTGCTCCGCTCTCAGCACCTCACTGCAATGCCCGAGTGGGTGTGCCGAGGGCTGTGAGTGTGACTCTGGCTTCCTTTACAATGGCCAAGCCTGCGTGCCCATCCAGAAATGCGGCTGCTACTACGATGGCGCTTACTATGAGGTAGGAACGCAGCCATCTGGGATGGCCCTGGCGCCCATCTAGCCTTCTCTCTAGCGCCCATCAGCCCCAGAGCCCTGGACAAATGAATACTTCCCCATCCACCTGCCCGCAGTCCCACCTTGGCCCAGTATGTCCTTTCTGAGCCCCTACTTTTGCTTTCTCTGGCCCACCCTTTATATGGGAAAGAGCTTTCTAAGCATGGGAAAGAGCTTTCTAAGCATGGCCACGGAGCCTAACCCTTCCCTGGCTCCCGTGTCAGGACTGAACCCAAGCAAGGCCTTGCACATGCTACACAAGCACTGAGTTACAACCCCTCCCTTAAAAAATGGTTTTCTCAAGACATAATCTTGCCAAATTTCCCAGGCTGATCTCAAATTTGCGGTCTCCTGCCCTCAGCCTCCCAAGTAGCTGGGATTACAGAAACACAGCAGTGCGTCAGGCAAAGGCTCAGCTGTGAATCCCAGATCTGGGCAGGGGTGGCCTTCTTGCCCACTGAGATGATACTGTCTGTTATCTGTGCCACGGGCCAGCTCTCTCTGCTTCTATCTTTCCTTTCACTTGAGTGTGTTTGTCTAAAGTCTGTCTCTTGCAGGACTTGCTTTTTTTTTTTTAGTATAGGGATCATGTGTTTTGAACCCAGAGCCTTTACAGCCCAGCCCTTTTTTATTTTTTGAGATAGGATCATGCAAGTTGCTCAGGCTGGGCTTGAACTCTTGACCTTTTTGCCTCAGCCCTGTGGAGTGCTGGGACTGCAGGTGGGCACCACCACACCTGGCTCAGAGCTAAGAGCTTTCCAGGGCGGGATCCTCTCTTGTTCTCCTCACATGAACAGTAATAGCAATAAGAGCAAATGTGGGTGGGTGACTCGTACTGCGCATAGCTACACTCACGGATAGACTTTTAGTGAGAAAATTCTCAGGCATGCAAAAGTCGAGACAACAGTGGAATCAATGTTTGCATACCTACTCATTACCTTACTCTCAAAATAATCATCACTTTTGCACCAGATTTTATCTGTGCCCCCCACTTTCCTCTCCAGTCTGGATTAGTGAAGCAAGCCCTTTCTCCTTGTACCTACACTCTGCACACACACCATTAATGAGCTACACTTTCACAGGCTGATGCCATCATCATCATCACCATCATCACCATCATCACCATCATCATCATCATTATTATTAATTTTGGTACCAGAAATAAAACTCTGAACCTCATACTTGCCAGGCAGGTGCTGTGCTGCTGAGCTTTATCCCTGGGCCATTACTACCTGAAACTTTTAGGAGAAGAAATTTGGCATAAAGAAGCTAAGTAGTGTCCAGAGTTATGCAACTGGAAGTAGGAGAAACAGGTTAAACCCACGTGGTTTGCTCTTAATTATTGCTTCTCACCATTTCTCCTCCACAGAAGCTGTTTAGTGGACATTTTGAACTTTTTATGCTTTTTGAGACCGGGTTTTGCTGTGTAGTTCAGGCTGGCCTTGAGCTCACTCTGTAGGCCAGGCTGGTCTCGAACTTGCAACAATCCTTCTGCCTCAGCCTCCCGAGTGCTGGAATTACAGGCATGCACCAGCATGCCTGGGTTCAAGTGGATAATTTGAAATGAATGAGAAAGCAAATGAATGATGAGAGCCAATAAAGGAATGAGTTGAGGCCAAAGCTATGGGCCCCGCTGAGGGATGCCCCTTTTCCTATCCACCACACCCCTCTCTTCCTGAAACCCTGGAGATGCCACAGTTGGCTTCCAAGGAGAGGTCCCTGATGGATTTGCCCTCTGTCCCCACAGCTAGAGGAGGAGGTACTCGTTGACAACTGCCAGAAGCAGTGCGTGTGCCATGCAGGCAAAGGCATGAAGTGCCGGGACTACAGCTGCGAGCCCGGGCAGGTGTGCGAGCCCTTAGACGGCATCCTGAGCTGCATCACCAAAGGTGCGGGACTGCGGGCACGGAGGACAGGGAGCTGGGAGGTACAGCTTCAGGGTGGGAGGTGCTGAGGCTCCGGGCGAAGGAGTCAGGCCCTGGGTTCTCAGAGCTAAGGTGGGGATAATCCATCTGGGAATCAAGGACCTCAGAGGGCATCAGCAGTGAGGACCCCAGAGCCAGGCTGCCCGGGCAGATGTCCAAAGCCCTCTGTTTCAGGCAGGGACAGGTGACCTTATCTCTGGCTGAGCATTTCTCTAGGAAGGTAAATAATGAAGCCTGAAAAAAAAAATAATGAATCCTGTAATCACACGGTCTCAATCACAGTGCTCAGATTTGCCAGCGTTGTGCATGAAAGCAGCTGGACACTAAGTCAGCAAAAGGGGCAGCTCCAAAAAAACTTTATTTATAAAGACAGGCAACTAGTGCCATGGTTTGTGGATCACTGGCTTGTGAGATTAGGCTCGGGGCTTTGGGTGCCAGCACCCAGGGTAGGGGAGACAGGGACACCGGTCTGGGGGAGAATGCAGAGTCCTAAGGTCTCAGGCAGAGGCTGCAAGTGCTGAGGCAGAGACCTGACCAAGGCAAGACCTTGGCTGTGTGTGTGTGTGTGTGTGTGTGTGTGTGTGTGTGTCCGTCCTCCAGCAGAGGATTGGGGCTTCTAAGGGCGCAGTCCCAGATATAGACTCCCTAGACTAAACTGGGGACACGGAGCCACCCAGGACTGAGAAGCCTCCAAGAATTAAAAAAACATAATCTCCAGAACTGAGGAGCAGGAGCTGAGACTCTTAAGGCTAATAAGCCAAATAACAGGGAGTCCAGGGGCAGGTTGCACCTGCCAGGGCCCACTGAGTTAATGGGGGGAGTGATTTGTGGGCTGGAATGAAGCTCAGCAGTATAGCACTCTTCCAGCATGAGCAGGGTCCTGGGATTGATCCCCAGTACCACTACAGAAGACAAAAAGAAAAAAGTTTTACCACTAAAAGGGAAAGGGGGCCACTGAAGGATATAAGATCCACTTGTACAGGGAGTAGCTCCCTGGGCTCCAGCAGAGCACGCTAGGAAAGCAGAACTGGGGACCTTCCCTGGTGCTCACGCAGTTCTCCCTGCAGAGGGCCTGGCTGCAGCCCACTGGAAGCAGAGAATGTACGGGCTGGAGCTCGCAGGAAGGAAACCCGTACTAGGGTGCTGGCAAAGCTCAGTGGGAAGCTGCCAGCTGGGACACCTGGGTGATCCACTGAGAAGCCAGCTTGGGAACACTAAGTGGGTGTCCCCCAGGTGCCACCGCCACAGGAGCACACAGCGGGCCGGCTTTCCTGCAGTGACTCTTCAGCGCCCTCTACTGACAAAGTTTAACTCAGTGGATTTGGAGCAAGGGGCAGTAAATTGTTATCGGGCAGAGGGGTAGAGAGAAAGAAGTTTGAAGGCTGGCTATGTAGACACTGGAGATTCTGAAAACAGAAACATGGATACGGTGGCACTAAGGTTGAGGCCTTGGACCCAGGAGCACTCCAGGATAAGGCCTCAGAAATAAGACCCCCAGCTGGGGGTGGTGAGGGTGGCACATACTTGTAATTCCAGTTATTCAGAAGGCTGAGAAAGGAGGATCACTGTGAGTTTGAGGGCAGCCTGGCCTACATAAACAAGTTCAAGGCCAGCCTGAACTACACAGTTAGACTCTGTCTCAAAAAAAGAAAAGAAAAAGAAAAAAGGGGGGGGGGGGAGGAGGAGAAGGAAGAAAGGAAGGGAGGAACAGGGGGACAAGAAGGGGGCCCCTAAAGGTAGGTACAGCAGTCTTTGGGGTTGGAGTCTTATAACCAAGGATTGCCAGGCTGAGATACTCAGATGGGGATCCCAGGGCATAAAAAGGTGGGGCCTTGGTGTTGGGCATGAGAGCAGGGGTCTGGGTCTCGGGCGTGGGGAAACCTGGGGTTTCAGGCAGGGGTGCCCCCAGAGAACACTAGGACTGGGGTGTGAGTCTCCACCTGGGGCTGAGATCTCATGCAAGGAAATCTTGCAGTCTGGGTCTTGGCTCCAAGGACCCCAGGTCTTGGGTCTCAAACAGCACAGCACAGGGTCAGGGTTTCAGGGGAAAGGATGCTAGGGCCTAAGTCTTTGCTGCAGGGACCTCTGCTACCTCAGTCTTAGATGTGGCCCCTTGAAACCTGATCTGTGCATACGGCCCACTGCAGGGCCTGAAGTCAGACTATGCTGGGTCTTAGGCATAGGTCTTAGGTAGTTCCAGTCTCACCTTAGTAGCTTCCATAGCCAGTATCCCTGGTACAGGCTGGGGCAGATGCTGGCTAGGGTCCGTTTTTGTTCTGAGCAGCCCCTTAAGGTGCCCTTTTGTCTGCCCCTAGACCCCTGCCATGGTGTGACATGCCGGCCACAGGAGACATGCAAGGAGCAGGATGGTAAGGGCGTGTGTGTGCCCAACTACCACGTCACGTGCTGGCTGTGGGGCGACCCCCACTACCACTCCTTCGATGGCTGGGAATTTGACTTCCAGGGCACCTGTGACTATGTGCTGGCAGCAGTGGGCTGCCCCAGAGTCAGTGCTGAGGGCCTGACACCCTTCACTGTCACCACTAAGAACGAGAATCGAGGCAGCCCTGCCGTGTCCTATGTGAAGCGTGTCACCGTCACTGCCCTCGGCACCAATATCTCCATCCACAAGGGCGAGGTTGGCCGAGTCCGGGTATGTATGGCAGAATGAACCCCTGAACCCCCTGCAGGACAGGAGGGGGTCCTGAAAGCTATAGTTAGCAGCTCAAAGTCCTCTTTACCTGGGTCTGCAGAAAAATGGCAACAGAAACCACCACAGACACAGCAAACCATTGCCCTCGTAGTGAGAGCCCTTGGTTCTAGTGGAGGACTGCAGCATTTGCCTTTGTATAGATCTGGATTTTTTTGGAGGGAGCAGGGGCTACCAGAAATTGAACTCAGGACCTTGCACTTGCCAGGCAGGTGCTTGTGCCACTGAGCTACATTCCCAGCCCTGGATCTGGCTCTGAATCCAGGCCCTGTTTCTTAAGAGCTCTGTGACATGGGTAGGTGACTTGATTCTCAGGTCCCAGGGTCCTCGTTTGTGAAATGGGCATTGTAGCAGGTCCTGCCCCATAGCAAGGTGACATAGGTTGATGGTCAGCTTGGCATCTGGCCCAGTGTTTGCCAGGGAGCAAATGAGAGGGCCAGTGTATGGAGAGAGACTCAAGGAAATGGGGAGAGAGGAGGAAACAAGATTGACAGTTGCTTCCAGGGCCAGGAAAGGCTCTCAGTAAGTGCCAGAGGGTGAGCAACCCCTCATGACCCAGCAGAACATGGAGAATGAGCACAGGGAGAGGGTGCAGAGAAAGAGACCCAGAGAGAAAATACACAGAACAGAGTTCCAGAGAGACAGATCCAGGCAAAGGGAGAGGAAGGAGATCAAGACGAGAGAACTAGAAAAAGTATGAGGTCTCATTCCTCAGGGCGTGGGTGAAAGTGAGCATCTATGTTTGTAAAATGACTTTACAACCTTCAGTGAAGAGGCAGATGTTGGCAGTTCTCAGTCTCTGGCCAGATGAGGGAGTGAGGGAGGCAGGAAGGCAGACGTGGGATCTCCTTACCTCTGTGACCCCTGTGCCTTCCTCTCTCCCCAGGTGAATGATGTGTTGACAGCCTTGCCTGTCTCTGCGGCTGGTGGGAGGATTTCCGTGACTCATGGCCCAGGAAAGGCGGTAGTGGTGACTGACTTCGGGCTCCAAGTCAGCTACGACTGGGATTGGCGGGTAGAGGTGACACTGCCCAGTAGCTACCACAGCGCAGTTTGTGGGCTATGTGGCAACATGGATCAGAATCCCAGCAACGACCGAGTCTTCCCTAATGGCACCCTGGCTCCTTCAGTACCCACCTGGGGTGGCAGCTGGAGAGTTCCAGGCTGGGACCCATTTTGCTGGGACGAATGTCTGGGATCCTGCCCAACATGCCCTGATGACCGACTAGAAGAATATGAGGGTCCTGCCTTCTGCGGCCCTCTGGCCCCCGGCTCAACAGGCCCTTTTGCAGCATGCCACTCCCATGTGCCACCTGAAAGCTTCTTCAAGGGCTGTGTTCTGGATGTCTGCCTCGGTGGTGGGGCCCACGACCTACTTTGCCAGGCGCTGGCTGCCTATGCTGCCGCCTGCCAGGCCGCTGGGGTTGTCATCGGGGACTGGAGAACACAGGCAGGCTGTGGTGAGTATTGGGGAGCACAGGGGGGGCTGGGGTTGGCATGGCTTGTCCTTCTGGATCTTTCTGCTTGCTTTCCTCTACCTCTGCACCTCCCTTTGATTCTCCCTCTGTCTCTGTTTCTTATTCTCTCCCTCTCTCCTTTGAGAGGGTCTCTCAGTATCTTTCTCTCCCTGTATCCTCTGTGTCTCTGTGTCTCTTGCCTTCTCTTAGGCTCTTTCTGGCTACCCATTTGTCCGTCCCCTCCCACCCCAACCCCAGATGCCACCCCAATGTCATTCTCTCTCTCTCCTGTTTCTTCATTCACCCACAGAGATCCCCTGCCCTGAAAACAGCCACTATGAGCTCTGCGGCCCACCCTGCCCAGCCAGCTGCCCATCCCCCTCTCCTCCCTCCACCTCAGCTGTGTGCGAGGGTCCCTGCACCGAGGGCTGCCAGTGTGACGAGGGCTTCGTGTTGAGTGCCGAGAACTGTGTCCCCCTGGATGGAGGCTGTGGCTGCTGGGCCAATGGCACCTATCATGAGGCTGGCAGCGAGTTTTGGGCTGATGGTACCTGCTCTCAGCTGTGCCGCTGTGAACACGAGGGCGGCTCTCTGGTCTGCACGCCTGCCAGCTGTGGGCTGGGCGAACAGTGTGCTTTGCTGCCTTCTGGCCAGTATAGCTGCCAGCCAGTCAGCACAGCTGAGTGCCAGGCCTGGGGTGACCCCCATTATGTCACCCTGGATGGGCACCGATTTGACTTCCAAGGCACCTGTGAGTACCTGCTGAGCGCACCTTGCGGTACGCTGCCCAAGGGCACTAAGAACTTCACCGTCACTGTCACCAATGAACGCCTGGGCAGCCAGGCAGTCAGCTACACTCACAGCGTCACGCTACATGTGTACGACCATGTCCTGACCCTCAGTGCCAGCTGGCCACAGCAGCTCCAGGTGAGGAGGGCAACGGGCCAGACCGGGCACATGCAGCCCTGGGGTTGCCTGAGACAGTGAGGGGTCAGCCCATCCCCAGAAGGCTTTCTCCAGCTCGGCAGAGACATGATGGAGCAGTTCAGAGTATCCGTTCTATTGGTTACCTTTCCTATTGCTGAGACCCAGTATTCAGCACCCACCATTTAGAGGAGGAGAGGTTTAATTTCCCTCACAGTTTCGGGGGTTCAGCCAATGGCCAGCTGGCTCCCAGGCAGAATGTCATGGTGGAAGGTGCTGGGGGAGCAAAGATGCCTAGCTTGCAGCAGCAGGGAGGCCGAGCAGGGAGGAAGGGACCCGTGACCAGACAGACCCCAAGGTAGCTCCAGCACCTACCCAGACACACCCAGAAGCCTGCCCCACCCAGCCCTAGGTGGCTGCCCAGCCAGTCAAGTCAATCCTATTAAGCTAGGCTTAGGAGTCTGATGGGGGAGCACAAGGGGCTTCCCTTTCTCCCCGTCTTAGTTTATTCTTCTGTAAAATGGGTCAACATGAAGTAACTGCTTAAAGGTAGCTTAAGGGCCCAAAACACCGTCTACGGATGCTTAGGGTGTTAGCAAAGGAGAGGTCACGTGCTCAGCCCCTCCCCTCCCCCCAGCTAGTAGGTGGTGGAGACCAGGTTTGAACCAAACCACTCACTGCGCACCCCGTCCCCATGCCTGCAGGTGAACGGCGTGCTCGTGAATCTGCCTTTCCAGCCCGGATCGCACCTGCAAGCATACCTGAGCGGCAACGGTGTGGTGGTGACCACAGACTTTGGGCTCTCCCTGTCTTTGGACCAGGGCAGCTTTGTGCGGCTGCGCGTGCCAGCGGCTTACGCGGGCGCCCTCTGTGGCCTGTGCGGCAACTACAACAAGGATGCCTCCGACGACTTAAATGCAGTGGAAGGAAACCCTGCGGGCTGGCAGGTGGGCGGCGATCTCGGCTGTGGGGAATGTGTGCCTGGGCCTTGTCCCAAGCCCTGCACTCTGGAGGAGCAGCAGGCCTTCGCCGGCCCCGACGCCTGTGGTGTGATTTCCAACCCCGAAGGCCCGCTGGCACCCTGCCACACCCTGGTACCACCGGAACAATATTTCACGGCTTGTTTGCTGGATGCCTGCCAGGCTCAGGGCCATCAGGGAGGCCTCTGTCCGGCAGTGGCTACCTACGTGGCAGCCTGCCAGGCCGCTGGGGCCCAAATCGGAGAGTGGAGGCGGCCAGACTTCTGTTGTGAGTACTGATCCATGCAGGGTCCCGTAATGGGTGGCCCCACTATCCCTTACCAGGATTCTAAGAGAAGAGCAACCCTACCCTTGTGGAGCTTGGGTCCCGTTCTGCTACGCCTGAGCCTGTGTCTCCTGCTAGAAAAATATGTTGGCATTGACACATCAAGGGCCAGGCCAGGTACCGCAGTGGGGCGGGGGGGCTGTTAGACACACCTGGTCACCGATATTTGGTACAATATACACTGAGGGATTCACACGCTCCGATATCTGAGTCAGGAAGACTCAGAGGCTCACCTGATGTAAGTCAAACAACAAGGGACTTCTGGTCAGAGGGACTTGGGGAACTGCACCTGGCCCTGTACTCTCCTGTACGTTAGGATACCCTTGCTTATACAGAATTGGCCATTTACCTACAGGGGTATGTGGTGGGATTATACCTGAGACCCACTGGTCAGATACCCCTAGATGAACTCAGAAGCACAGCCCAGAGCAGATCCATGTAGATTCATGGTCCAATAGGATGAGATCATTGTCCTCAGACAGATCTCCACGGTCAAGTTCATCCCACCAGCATCAGCCAATTATCTATGCAGTTGGAGTCCCACTCTGAAATGGACTGTGTCAGGGAGATGGGCAGGTGCTCTAGGTCATGTCAGATACCATAGCCAGGTACTCTCAGGCAGACGGATACCCCAAGTTATGTCTGCTCTGATATCCCCGCAATGCCAACACCCAGAGATACCCATAGTGGTTCAGATCCTGTCTATCCTGGCTAGAGGTACATGATCAAATTCCCCAGGCAGAGTCATTACTCTTTAGAAGTACTCAGGATAACATGTACCCTGGTTGAAGAAACCAGGTCTTCTCTCTCTCTCTCTCTCTCTCTCTCTCTCTCTCTCACACACACACACACACACACACACTCACACCCTTGAGATCTAATGGTGAACCTCCCCATCAGGTGCTCTGGGTCAGGTCCCTATACCCTACACTCAAGGTAGCCCAGGCAGATTACACCACTTACCTCCTCCTGCCCTACCGCTCAATGTCCTACCCTTGCACCTACCTGGCTCATCCCCTTTGTGTTCCCCACAGCCCCCTCATGCCCTGTCAACAGCCACTACGAGCTCTGCGGTGATTCTTGCCCTGTCAGCTGCCCAAGCCTCTCAGCGCCTGAAGGCTGTGAGTCCACCTGCCGGGAGGGCTGTGTCTGCAACTCTGGCTTCGTGCTTAGTGGAGACACGTGTGTGCCTGTGGGCCAGTGTGGCTGTCTCCATGATGGCCGCTACTACCCACTGGGTGCAACCTTCTACCCAGGCCCTGAGTGTGAGAGACACTGTAAGTGTGGGCCAGGTGGCGAGGTTAGCTGCCAGGAAGGTGCAGATTGTGGGCCCTATGAGGAGTGCCGGGTAGAGAATGGTGTCCAGGCCTGCCATCCCACGGGCTGTGGCCGCTGTCTGGCCAATGGGGGCATCCATTACGTCACCCTGGATGGACGCGTCTATGACCTGCATGGCTCCTGCTCCTATGTGTTGGCTGCTGTCTGCCACCCAAACCCTGGGGATGAGGACTTTTCCATTGTGCTCAAGAAGGACAAGGCTGGAGATCCCCAGCAGGTGGTGGTGACTGTGGCTGGCCACGTTGTGAGCCTGGCTGGAGGGCCGAAGGTAGGTGTATACGGCTTTGTGCTGGGCTTCTGAGAGGAACACATCCCTGCCTGCCCAGAGAGCTCTGAAGGAGCATGGCCCTACCTGTAGGTCTGAGGGTGACATTACCTGCATCTGGGGGTTCTGAGGGAGACACAATTTTGAGGCTCTGAGAGTGCTGTAGCCTCCATCTAAGGGCCTGGGTACACATCCACAGTCTGGAGGATCTAGGTATGAAGGCAGTGGCCCTACCCTAGGAGCCTAAAGGGATGCAGCCCTACACTGGGGATTTTGAAGGAAACATGGTCCCGCCCCAGCAGGACTCAATGACACAGAACTCTGTCCTAAGGACTGAGGACCATGCCGTGCTGTGGGGTGGGGGAAGGGGCACCCTTACTTGTGGTCCATGATTCCCCAACCCTCTGACCTTCCCATCCAGGTCACTGTGAACGGTGAGGCTGTGAACCTGCCTGTAGCTGAGGGCCATGTGCGGGTGACTGCTGAAGGCCGAAACATAATTCTGCAGACAAGCAAGGGGCTGCGTGTTCTCTTTGATGGTGATGCCCACGTCCTCATATCCATCCCTAGCCCCTTCCATGGTCGGACCTGTGGCCTCTGCGGGAACTTCAATGGCAATTGGACTGATGACTTTGTCTTGCCCAGTGGCGAGGTGGCCCCCAGTGTGGAGGACTTTGGAACTGCATGGCGGGACCCTGATTCCTCCCCAGACTGTAGCGAGGGCTGTGGCCCCCAGGGCTGCCCCGTATGCTTGGCACAGGAGACAGCAGCCTATGAGAGCAGTGAGGCCTGTGGGCGGCTTCGGGACCCGAAGGGCCCCTTCTCAGACTGCCACAGTGTGCTGAATCCCTCTGAATACTTCCGCCAATGTGTGTACGACCAGTGTGCCGAAAAGGGTAACATAGCCTTCCTCTGCCGAAGCCTGGCAGCCTACACAGCAGCCTGTCAGGCAGCTGGTGCAGCTGTGAAGCCCTGGAGGACAGACACCTTCTGCCGTGAGTGTCCCTGGCCCCTGGGAGGATGCCTGGCCCTGCCCTGGTTCTTCCCCATTATGCTGCTCCCTGTGGCTTCTCCCACAGAGTGCTCTGGGTTTTTTTTTCTTGCTCTCTGCTAGTCCCTTCCCAGACTCCTTCAGGGCCCACACCTTATGCCTCATGTTCCCCTCTTCCCTAGGATCTTTTCTACCTCTTATTGACAGAAAAGGTTGGGCAGGTTGAGGCTCACACAAAAGCCCACATCCACGGAGCATTGTGGCCACCCTCTCCTTGATGAGGCCACAGCCATCAGACCCCTAATTGAAGACTGTATTTCTTCTTCAACTCCCCAGGGCAGGGACATGTCCCTCAGACTCTCCAGGACCAGCCAAGGGCCCTTCATGCCCTGGAGCAGAGCCATGTCTCCTGTCTCCTCAGGGTTCAACTCACACCCAGGCCTGCCACCCACCCCCAGGACTCAGATCTGTCCCGAGTGCCACATTGGACTCTCTGTCTGCAGCCCTGAACTACCTCCTGACTGCTAGCCCCAGGGGTCAACTGGCCTCTGGGACACTTTCCTTTGGGTGTCCTTAAGAGTCTCTCATACCTGCTGCATGATGACTATTTTAGAACAGCCATACCAACCACCAACTGCTTAGCCCCATCTTTTTTTTAGTCCCATGTCCAGCCCACACCTCCTGACCCCAGCCCCAGCCTCTGTCATTCTTCCCCAAATGCAGCATGCTCACTTTGGGCTGGTGCTGTCTCCTGCTGGATATGAGCTCTGTCAGACAGGGCTCAAGCATGGTGTCCTCATCACCTCTGTCCTCAGCCCCATACTACCCAGAGCTGGGTGCACAATAGATCTTAGGTGCTCGGTGTCCTTGCGGAGGTGTGACCTTGCCCTGCCCCTTCTCTCTGCAGCGCTCCAGTGCCCGGCCCACAGCCACTACTCTGTCTGCACGCACTCCTGCCAGGGCTCCTGCGCAGCTCTCTCCGGCCTCACAGGCTGCAGTGTCCTCTGCTTTGAGGGCTGTGAGTGCGATGACCGCTTCCTGCTCTCCCAGGGTGTTTGCATTCCTGTTCAAGACTGCGGCTGCACCCATAATGGCAGATACTTGCCGGTGAACAGGGGCTGCTCGGTGGGAGAGGCGGGGAGGCTCGAGGGTGGGGGTGAAGGAGCCACCACCACACCCCAGCAGTGGGATTTGGTGTGAGTAACCTCTTTGTGCAGGTTTCTCACTGCTCTGCAAACAAATCATCCCAGACTTGGTACCTTAAAATGGCAGAAATGTATTTCCCACAGTTCTGGAGGTGAGAGCTCAGAAATCAGGATCCCCGGACAGAGGTCAAGGCATTGGCAGGTGACATCGTTACTACAGGGCCCAGGGGAGAATGTGTCTTTCTAGTTCTACTGTTTGGTGGCCACAGGGGTCCCTTATTTGTGGGGGGACCAGTTCAATGTCTGCCACCTCTTCAGTGCACTACAAGCTCCTCCCCCTCCGCCTCCTTCGTTTAAGGATACATGTGACTGTGTGTTGCACCTACCCATATAATCCAGGATGATCGCTCCACCCCAAGATCTTTGATATAGTCACACCTACACAAACCCTGGTCCACATAAGGTAACACTGACTGGTTCTCAGGCTAGGATCAGATACCTCTGAAGGACTGTAGCTTGGCCTACCATAATTCTCTCCCTGACCTTCGTTTCCTTCATCTCTCTTACACGTTAATCAGTATCCTGGCACCACAGGTATCTGAGAAATCGGAGGATCAGGCACCGTTATGAACGCAGGGTACCGCTGAGCTCTGGATCTTGTCTTCCTTGCTCATGGGTCTCAGTGGAAAGATTAGACATTTACAACAGTCCAAGGGATGACCCAGCCAACAATCGTGTAATAGTACAGATTGACACTGAAGAGTTGATTTGTCCTTGTTACAGATGTTAATTCATTTAATAATCACAACAATCCAGTGAGATAGGTACTATCACTGTTCCTCTCATTTTACAAAGAGGTTTCAGCCCAGAGAAGGCAGTTCAGGGGTTCTTGTTAGCAAAAGGCACTGACATGCATCTGCCAGCAGCAGAGTCAGGCTTTGCCTTTCCTTTGGGCCTCGCCGCCTGCCAGAAGTCACCCAGGGCCCTGTCTCCCCTAGAACCTCTGCCAGCACCTGCCCATTCTAGCTCTGACCCTTCTGTCCATGCTGGAGATTGCATTAGATTTGTTAGCCTGGCAATGGGGGGGGGGAAGCCTGACATAGGATATAAATGTGGGGATCATCAGTACAGGGATGGTATGTCACCCCCTGTCCCCAGGTGCATATAAATTCCATACCTGTAGAGTCAGTATGAAAATATTTGAAAAGAAAACTTTGTCTGTCCTGGACATGTACAGATTTTTTTCTTGTCATTGTTCCCTAAACAAGACTGTATGGTATAACAAGTATCTCCGTAGGCATTGTACGAGGCCTTGTCAAAAGACCTTAAAGATGATGTAAAGTGTACAGGAGATGGGTACAGTTAAAAGGCAAACACTTTATATAAGGGACTTGAGCATCCTCTAATTTGGGTATTCTCAGCGGTGACTCTATTTGTCAAATACCTTGATCTTTTTCTTTCAACGTTGTCAAAATTTTATCTTCGATGGATTCAAAATCGAGGAAAGTTGCAAGGATACAAAGCACTCCTGCTGTGCTTCACTTGTTGCCCTTGTGTCACACTCGCCATAGTTATCCTCAACCTGTGTGTAAACAGAGCCAGTCTAAAAAAAAAAAAAAAAAAAAAAAAACCCAAAAAACCCAAAACACAAAGACCAACTGGCCCTGAGCTCAATCCTCAGTACCCACACCAAAGGAAAATAAATGTAAGGAAAGACAAGAAAAAGACAGTGAAGGCCAGGAGGGGGAAAAAAAATCTAGAAGAAAGCCAGTTCCTGAAAATGGATTTGCAGGGTCCTGTACTCTGGAAAAAGGGGTGGGTACCAGGACTCTGAGATATCCCCAGTGCCACCCTCACCTTAGCAGTTAGCTTTTGCTGCGTTGCAATCACTCTAGAGTGTGACAGCTTAAGACACAACTTTTTATTTAGTTCATGCTTCTGTGACTGCAGTCTGGGTGGGGCAGTTCTGCTATCGTGTTGTATTTGTAGTCACCTGGTGCATCAGTTGAAGGCTGCTTGGCCCCGAGTAGTATATTAACTTTCTGTAAGAAAATACTAGAGGTGGGTTACTCTGTAGAGAAAAGGAGTTATTTAGCTCATAGTTTTGGAGACCAAAGTCCAAACGGCATGATGCAGGCTCCAGCTTCTAAATCACAACAGCGTTTGTTCGTTTGTTAGGAGATAGGGTATTGCTATGAAGCAGTTCAGGCTGGCCTTGAACTCAAGATGTAGTCCAGGTTGGCCTCAAGCTTGTGGTGGTTCTCCTGCCTCAGCCTCCTGAGTGCTGAGATTACAGCTGTGCCCCACCAGTGGTGAATCACCTTATAACAGGAATGAGTGTTTATTTCAGTCAGTGTGTGGAGTCTCCTTACAGAGCCACCAGACTTCAGTCATGGGGTGGTGTCCATCCCAGTAACATTACCTAGTTTAGTCATTTTCCAAAGGCCCCACTTCTGAACACTAAGTTCAGAGAACACTAAGTTAAGGTTCCCCTCCTGTATGAATTTGGGAGGACCAACTGTAGGGAGCAACCTGAGCGGAGAGTTCTTTCTGTTCCATGCAGTGACCCATGCTCCAGTGGACCAGTCCAGCCTTGTTCTCATGGCAGCCGGACGGGATTCCCGGAGAGAGATAGGTTTCTTGAGGCTCACAAACAAACCTGCTACAACAGTTCTTCTGTTTTTTCACTGACAAAGCACAGTCTAGGGGCCAGCTCAGGCTCTGAATGGGGAAACACACTCCGCTTCTGAATGGGAGTCTGCCAAGAAATTGCCTTGCAAGCCCAGCACAGTAGCACATGCCTGTAACACCAGCAAGATGGGTGGCTGAGGCAGAAAGATCACAGGTTCAAGCCTATCCTGGGCAACTGAGCAACTAAGCAAGACTCTGTCTTAAAATAAGAAATAAAAAAGGGGAAGGGCTAGGGATATAGCTCATTGAAAAAAGCCCTGGGTTCAATCCTCAGTATTGCAAAAATCAAAATAAAAACACACCCTGCATGAAGCAGAGGGTTGGAGGCGTGGCCCCGGCTGCAGTCCCTCATGCCATCCCCAACCCAACCTGGCTCCTTTCTGTGCACAGGTGAACTCTACCCAGCTGATGTCGGACTGCAGTGAGTGCTGTTCCTGTTCCTCAAGCACTGGCCTGACGTGCAAGGCTGCTAGCTGCCCAGAAGGCCAAGTCTGTGATGTCCAGGAAGGATCCTGGGTCTGCCGGGCCCCCTCTGGGCTCTGTTCCCTCTCTGTGGGTGGCAACCTCACCACCTTCGATGGTGCCCACAGTGCTGTTGACTCCCCTGGCATCTATGAGCTGTCTTCCCGTTGCCCAGGGCTACCAAACAGCATCCCCTGGTACCGTGTGCTTGCTGATGTCCAGACCTGCGAGGACAATGTCAAGGCTGTGAGCAAGATCCACATCTTCTTTGAGGACGGGATGGTGACTGTGACCCAAAGCAAGGGCGTCTGGGTAAGCTGGGTATGGCAGGAGATGTTTCCCCTTCGGCTTTTGTTCTTTATATTGCAGTGTCTTCCACTCCCGGCTGCCTTGCTGTTTCTCTTATCCAGATCTCTAAAGTTTGGTTCTCAGATCTGTATTTGTCTCAATATTTTAAATATTTCAGACTTAGTTTCTGTGCTTTGGCTGAGTTTTGCAGGGACAGGGTTCAACTGGATTTCACTCTACAGCTGCCTCAGCCCCCCGAGCATTGAGATTACAGGTGTGCATTATCACGCCCAGGGTGGCTGAGCTGTGGAGGAGCAAATCATGCTCAAGTAACTTAGTAGTTTTGATATTAGTATTTATCAAGGCCCCATAGGTTACCAGGGACAGAAAAACAAGTTCAAATTGCCTTAAGCAAAAGTGAATTGATTGTCTGATATCCCTAGAAAAATCCAAAGATACAGCTTCAGGTGTGGCTGGATGCAGTTGTCCTAGCAAAATTATCAGACTTGATCCTCTACCTTTTAGAATTCTTGTTCACCAAATCACCTTCTTAGACAGGCCTTTCTCTCATAATTTCAAAACAACTTGCCAGCTGCCGCAAACCTGCACCCCATCAGCTAAGCTACTTAGCAGACAGTGATCCCTTATCTCATTGGGCCAGCTTGGATCATGTGTCCATGACTAGCCCGAGCACTGTGGTCTTAGGGATGGAACAGGGTGACTGGTCAGGCTGCAAGCAAGGTGATAGGGCTCACTTGATATGTTAGGGCTCCTCAAGACCCTTCCCAGTTTCCATGATTCACTAGGAGGACTCAGCTATACTTAAACTAAGAATGATTATGATGAAAGATACCAAGCAAAATCATCATCGAGGAAAGGTAAATCAAGCAGCAGAAATGGGCCACAAACTACCATGAGTCCTTTCCTGATGGGATCACATGGGGATGCTCTTAATTCCTTCAGTTACAATAAACTGTGACAAAACCTGTGAAATAAGCCAGGTGTGGTGGCACTCACCTGAAATCCCAGTACTCTGGGAGGCTGAAGCAGGGGTATTGTAAGTTTGACGCCAGCCTGAGCAATTTAGCAGGAGTCTATCTCAAATTATAACAATCTAAAAAGGGCTGGGGATATAGTTCAGTGTGAAGGCCTTAGGTTCAAACCTTGGTACCACACCAAGCAAACAAGTGAAAAGAAAATCCAAACCAAACTAAAACAAAAAACCCTCTGAAATGTTATCTATCAGGGAAGTTCACTCAAGTTTCAGTGTCTAGGGTTTTCACTGGGAGCTGGTCGCATAGGAAGCCCTCTGCCTAGCACATAACAAAATTTTAGGCCAGGCATGGTGGCACATGCCTGCAATCCCAGCACATGGGAGGCTGAGGCAAGAGGATCCTTGTGAGTTCCAGACCAGCGCTGGCTACAAAATGAGTTCAAGTCCAGCCTGAGCTGCATAGTGATTCCCTCTCTCAATAAGACAAAAAAGAAAAAAAATTAGACTTAGCAGAAGGAAATTCTCTGAAGGTGGTCAGCACCTTTCTCTATTACTGGACTATGGGCCTCAGGTGAGCAAAGAACCCTGACCACCTCAACTCCCCGCTTATCGCTAATACCCACATCAGGACCTGGCGGCTAGAGGGTACCAGGAAAAGTTTTATAAATAAAGTCAACTTGTTCCTTTTGTGCCAAGCACAGAAATGACTCAAACCCAGTTGTTGTACTTGAAAAGCTGGCAGCTGGTAAGACTTTCTATCCACGGAGTCTCCATCTATCCTTTGCTGCTTCTGTCCTTCCTTTTTCCTTCCTTCCTTCCTTCCTTCCTTCCTTCCTTCCTTCCTTCCTTCCTTTCTTCCTTCCTTCCTTTCTTCCTTCCTTCCATCCAGGATTTCCCCCTCTTCATTTTTCCTCAAAGAGGCTCAAACAGAAGGATTGAGTCAGCAACTGCAACAGACAGCAGTTATTTAAAGAAAATACACAGTCACTGAGCCTGTGGCCTATAATAAAGAAACAGGAATGTTGTCACATGATTATATTTGCTAAGATCATCACTTACCTTCAGGCAACAGCATTACAAAGCCAAGGGAGATGGTTGTCTTTGTCAGGGAGCCAGTCACTTACAGGACACATGCAAGGTCTCTTTTATTTTGAAAACTAGAACAAAACCAGATAACCTTGGGTTTGATTGTTTTTTGGTCACATATAATGTGTTTTTCTTCCCTGATCTTGGGGAGACCCCTCCCTCCTCCATGATTCTATTTATTGTTAACCTAAATAACAGAAAGATTCTCTAAAGATTACTAAGTTTATTTGCAAGCAGCTATGTGATGGGAATACTCAGGCCAGAGCAAGCTAGGTGCACACCCAAATCTCCGGCTGCCTTCTCCACATAGTGGACCTCTGCAGGGGCTCACCTCTTTCAGCATCAGCCTCTTTGTTACAGATCATTGAACTGATTATTTTGCTCAGGGTCTCTGTTTTACTTACTTTGCTCATTGCTGAGACAAAATCCCTGATATCCAGAGTTTGAAGAGGGAAGGTTTACTCTGGCTTAAAGTTTCTAGAGGCTTCAGTCCATCGTTGGCTGACCCCAAGGTAGAGGGGCATGGCAGAGGAGAAATAGTCCATGGCAGAGCAGGGCAGGCAGAAGGGAGCAAACTAGTGAAGCATCTTCTTTCTGTCCCTTCATATGCCACACAGTCTATCTACCTTTTGGGTGGTGTCACCCATAACTAGGGTGGGTCACTCTTAATCCAAGCATCACACCTCCTTTGAAAGTCTCTACCTAGGACCACACTTTTGGGAGGACATCTAGATACAAGCTGTAGCAGATTCCATGCTGGTAATAGCCTGGCTATTCTGTGGCTCTGAGCCTCCCTTCTTTGTTTGCCTGTCCCCTCCTCCAGGTGAATGGCCAACGAGTGAACTCCCTACCAGCTGATGTGCTGACATCTGTGTCAGTCAAACGGGAAGCTGATGGTTCCATGGTAGTAAGCCTGAAGGATGGGGTCCAGGTGCGGCTGGGAAGCGATGGGCATCTGGATGTGATGGTCAGTGATGACCACGCTGGCAAGCTGTGTGGAGCCTGTGGCAACTTTGATGGAGAACGGAACAATGACTTCCAAGGGGAAGCAACAATGAAGGATTGGATACCATCAGACTTCTCCCCATGGTGAGGAATGTGGTGTGGAAGTCAGGCTTCTTGGGACAGGGGTATCTACCTCGATCCTCACAGGGAGGAGCATCATGGGTGGGTGCTTAGTCCTCAATAGATACTGTCTGTCTCTTGCAGTGACAACTGATCAGTCATCCACTAGGAATGAAGATTTCAGGACCTGACACCTTGGAGATTGCAATGGTTGAAGAATGCCCTGTGTGCCCCTACCCTGCTCTATTCCTTTGCTAAGCCACAGAGGCCAAATGTGAGAGAATTTAATAAATATCCTAAGCCAAGCTGCACCCCAGTGTGTTAGTCTTATGCCTTTCATCCTCCATTTCCCTCCCCATACAGCAGGGCACCTGGAATGTGATGAAAAGGGGTGAGAGAGGATGCAGGCATAGATACATGGCAACAGGGAGAAACAGCAGGTTGGGTTGGAAAAAGGGTGTCTGGGAAATAAGATGATGCAGAAATGGATTAGGAGAATGGATGGGAGAGAAGATAAGTGCTTGGATGAAGGTAAAAGATGAGAGAGAGAGAGAGAGAGAGAGAGCAAGAGAGAGAGAGAGTGAGAGAGAGCTATTGATTGGGGATTGAACACTTATAACCCTAGCTAGGTACTCAATGTCTGACACTGTTTCCTTGTCTTTTAAATGAAATTAATCATAGTATTGATCTCATAGAACAGCAATAAGGATTTAGTGTATTAACCAAGCCAAAAATTCAAGAATTGAAGAGAAAGCACTAATAAAATTTAGGCAGTGGTGCTGAACCTGTGGTATGTGTGCCGTCGAAAGCTCTATGTGGGCTGTGACCATCGAAAGCTCTAAAAGGTTCACCATCACTGACCTAGAGGGTCAGATCTTTGTTGCTGGCACAAAATGCCTGATATATGATGTTGTAGACCACAAATTATACACTGAGTCCAGGGCACATCCAAGCTGCTTCTTGTCCTGATTTTTTGGGCCAGATTAGAACACAGAAACTCCTTGATTATTTCTGGTCACAGCTGGAAGCCCTAGGGCTAAGGACTGCTGTGGCCCTCACAGGGCCAGATAAGACCTGCTACAGATGATAAGGCACTTGGAGAGACTCATCCTTGTCCTTGCAAGAAGGTTTTGATCTTCCTAGCCCACTATAGTCACTATTACTGTTCCCAGAAACACCCATTGTCCTTCCCCCAACATCCTTGACTCAAGTGTACTGAAACCATAGCAAGAGTCTAGGTGCCTTGTGACCTTTTATTCCTAGAGGGCAAGCGGTCACCCCAGATTCCTGCTACGCTTGCTCTTTCTTTCCTTCCCACTGTGCACTGGGCATGGTGATTGGAACTGTAACCCAGACAGGAGATTGGAGCCCACCACAGGGGTCTCTAGTAGTGCACAGTTTTATTTTTTAATTTTTATTTTGAAAAATGTTTTATTGAGAAACAAATAGCAATGAGACAGTTTCAAAACTGATTAGTAGGAAGTTTCAGTAAATAATACATTGCATATTGTTGTCTTCTTAGTGGTTATTCATAGCACAAGATCTAGACATGATATCCTTTCCACAAACACTATTAGAACAACTCTTTCTATTCATTGAATTAAGAGAAAGTAGTTGTATATCTCTGTATATTTACCTTACCTATTTTGAATATACAGATACAAAATGGTCCTTCATTTGTATCCCCTTTTTTTGTTTAGTTTTGTCAGAGGATATTCCATTGCCAAGTAAATATTGTAGGAGCATGAATTCAGCAAAATATTCCAATATAGTCCAGTAGTCCATAATAGTAGTGAGTTTTCCATAGGACTGGCAATGTCAGTTGTTGACTTGAGCCTTTTACAGCTTAGCATATTAATATGGCTTTACTTTTTATACTTTGTTTTTATACTTTTCTGTTGGATGGTTAAAACCAAGAAAAAGCAAGACCTATATAACAAGAAATGTAACTTTTGTATCTGATAAAGTCAATCAAGTCCCCTCAGGATTTATCCTGTAACCCTGTACTGCAGTTTGTAGATCCTTTGTCATTGTCAGCCATGTGGATGAGTCACAGCCATTGCTTGACCAATTTGCTGTCTGTGAAAGCCTGAGAGAATGTTTTCACTCCATGTGACTCTCCTTAGGTACACTCTACATCATCAATCACTTTCCTCTGTGGCCCCATAATCTTCTTGATCAGAAAATTTGGGACACAACTGAGTTACATGATGTTACAGTACAGGTTCTCCTATGTCCTGAGTCTTCACTGACCTTGAAAGGATAGGGCCAAAATGTTGGCTGTCTTTGCTGCCCTTCTTTTTTCTAATTTTTGGTTTTCAAACTTAGGTTGTGAACCCTCCAGAAGAGAAGCTTATTATTATTACCCTACAACATAGGCAGTTGAGCTTAACCTCACTATGTCTGAATATCAAACATCTCAGACGTAACATGAAACATGTGTTTTTTCCATCAAGTATTGATATGCTAAACTTTAAGTCCCTACAGAATATGCAGAAAAAATTTTAAAAATAAAAAATATTTAAAAAAATAGAAATAAGCAATTACATATTTTTACACAGACATTTAGAAATCTAACCATATACAGCATTGTAGCAGGACAGTCCTGTGACTTTTTTTTCTTGTCTCTTGTTTTCATTTATTATCCTTTTCTTTTAAACAAACATTTACTTGAGAGACAGTATGGCAGTAATTAGTGTGTCATGACAAGCAGTACCTATTTAGAAGACCAGAATGACAGGCATTCCAAGCATGTCCCTAGTATGACACATTGCTATCTTCAGTGCAGTTCCTTAGTTCACAGGTATTAGCATATATAGTCAGCGTGAGAATCCTACCAATTAACTGCTAGTTTCAAAAACCTGCTGAAGATTCTCAGGATCACTGCCTTAACCATCTTGAGCATATAAATGTATGGTTTTGCCTCTGTCATGTTTCCTAGCTTTTCTCCTTGTCCTCTCTTTGTTGTCTAATCCTTAAGTCCTTTTAATTATGTTCTATCTTTCTATTTTTATTTCTTCTTTTGAGTTCTTACCCTAGGGAGACTATACGATATTTACACATGTGGGTCTGTTTTATTTATCCTATGAGTATATCTTCAAATGGCATCCACTTTATCATTCTTTATAGCTGAGTAATAGTACATTGTATAAAAGTAGCACATCTTTTTCATGCATTCCTCAGGTGAGGGGCATCTTGGTTATTTCCAAGATGTGGCTATCACTAATTGGGCGCATAGTTTTAAAGGATGAAGGATTTCCTCGGCTCACAGTTTCAGAGGCTCCAGTCTATGGTTGGCTGGGTCCAAGGCAGGAACGTCATCACAGTGGAAGGGGGTGGCAGAAGAATGCTGCCCACCTCCTGGGAGCCAGGAAGCAGGCAGCAGGGGACAAGCCCTGACAGCCACTCAGGTCCTCAGATCCCATCACTGACAATCAGCCTGTCAACTCAATGAGACTGCGTATGGTGGTGCTTGCCTGTCATCCCAGCGCTTGGGAGGCTGAAAGCAGGAAGATCACTACAGGTCTTATCTGTGTAGTTAGACCCCGTACTAAATACATGAAAAGAAAAAAAGAAAAATGAGAGCAGAAAATGTACCATTTGGCTTTAGCAACATGGAAGTTCTTAGTGACATGTTGGTGGAGCAATGGAGGTGGAAATCTGATTTAAAAAGTGAGAAGTGGACACAGTAAGTAACTCTTTCAAAGAGTTTTTGTTTCAAGAAGCCAGCTTTAGGTCTTTCTCCATCTTCACTCAGCTGTCAGGACACTGGGTCAGAGCAGGGGGCGAGGCGGAGTCAGAGTTTCAGGAGGTACCACAGGTCTGATGGCAAAGGTGGGTAGGGAGTCTGGCCAGATGGTGACAGCAGTGTAGTCAGGAGGGAATGGGGCCTGGGTGCAAAGGCAGTGGGCTCAGGGGATTGTTGGGACTGATGACTCATTGGAGCATTCGTTTTAGAGAAACTGAGGTGGGGACATAGGTGGAGGCACAGAACTGAGATGTCTTCATTACTTTCTTGTTACGGAGACACAATATACAACACCCAAAACTCTAAGGAAGATGTTTTCTTTGGCACAATTTGCAGAGGTTTCAATCCACAGTCCATTGGTGCCAAGCGCAGGGAGGATGGCAGAGAAAGAGCTCATAGCATAGCAGCAGGAAGCAGAGAGAGCTATCAGGGGAGCAGGGAGGGAGGGAGGCACCAAGGCCACACCTCCAGCCTGGCTTCACCTCCCAAATTATATTTACCACATTTAGCTACAAACCCATCAGTGGATCTACTAGTGAGTATCATGTCGTCAGGATCTCATCACTTCTCCAACCCCCACCTGTGTGCGCATGAGGCTGTGGGGGTCCTCTGGATAAAAACCCCAACATGAGATGCTGTAGAGACTGTAGTTTGGTGCTATCACTGTCAGGACATGGGTCTTTCTCTCCCAGCAAGGTAGGACCCTTGGGACTATCACAGTCACCCCAGTTTCTTCAGCATTGGGTCTAAGTGTGGTCACAGGAGGGAAAGGTTGGGTGGAGGCCAACGTCCCTGGAGGACAGCAGGGCAGAGCACTAAGAGACCCGAAGGGTCAAGGGATCCACAATGTGAATTTCAAATGGCACAGAGGACAATGGTAGGAGCAGTGTGGGGGCTGCGGTGCCAGAGCTAACAGACAGCAGAACTGACCTGAGGAGTTGACGGAGCTGGCAAAAAAAATGGGAGTGGAAGTTACCTTGTGACTGTGTAAGCTTCAAAGTTAGAGGTTTAGGGACAGAAAGTGGCATGGAAGAGCGAGGAGGATCTAATCCCATGGGCAGATCCTGTGGGGAAGCGGGTAGCAGAGGAGTAAACTGTCTCCACTTGGAAGGGCCGTGTCTTCAGGGGAGAGCAGATGGTGCTGAGAGCAGGAGAGAAAGGGAAGCTTCCGAGCGAGCGGAGGAGGTGTGCACTATCAAGGAACGCTTCAAGAGCTTCCCAGCCCTGCCCTGTCTGCCTGCATCTCCCCCAGCCTGGTCCCAAGCCTTCTGGACAGTATAGTGCAGGCCCAGGCTACCTCCTCCACTGGACCGGTGTTATGGTTTGTGTCTAGTTGTCCCCCCAAAGCCTCATGCAGTCATGGGGTGAGGACTTCTAGAGTTTGTGTTAACTCATGATCCACTGGGATTATGTGTGATCCAAGGCTGGGATTATGGGTTTTAGTACTGCTGGGATTACCCATAGGTGGGTAAA